GACCCTAATGAGGATTAAGTAGTGTATAGATAATGGATGGATGAGTCTGTTTTCATGTTGTCTTTTATCTGATAGTTTGGGTCACATACAGTCTGAACCAACAGACTGTGAAACTCCTCCATCTCTGCTACCACTGTCCTATTAAACAGCTCTGTGTGATTCTACATTATTATATTCATTCTAACCTGTTGTATTTTCTTTTATTTTCTTTCATTTCATTCTCATATCTTTTGCCTATGTGTGATTATTTTAATCTATTTTATTTTACATTATTTTATTGTGATATTTCTTGTCTATAACTGATGATTTTATTTTTTTAATGTTTTATTTTACTTTATTTCATTTTATCTTCATATATGTTGTCTGACTGATAATGATTGCATTATTTTATTCTATTTTATTTTCTTTTCATGTTTCCTGTCCATGATTGGTGATGATTGTAATATTTTAATCTATTTTATTTTATTTTAGCTCATTGTCATATTTTTGAGGTATGACTGATGGTGATTTCATAGTTTTAATGTATTTTATTTTATTTCATCTCATTATAAACATTTTTTTCTATAACTGATGATGACTTGATTCATTTTCATCTACTTTATTTCATTTCATTTTGTTGTCCTATTTTCTGTCCATGACTAATGATTTTATTATTTGAATCTATTTTATTTCATGTAATGTTGTCATCATATTTCTTTTTGCCTGCTATGTGGCTTTAGAGTGTGGTGTAATTATGTATTGTTGTGTTGTACTGCTGACTGTAGGACAAACTGCCCCTCTGAGATAATAAAGATGAGCTTAAATGTTGAACCTTATATGAGGAGGGAGGTTCTCCCAAACCAAACCAACCAAACCATGTTTTTGTGAAACCAGAAAAGCTCCTTTAAACAAACTGTTTCCACAAAGTTGGAGACTTCATGTCTGGGTGCTGGACTTTGTACACCTGTGGCAGCTGGTCTGAATGAAACACCTGAATTCAACAAGTAGCACCTCATTATGTAATAATTTTGTAATAACACATTAAGTTTGACCAATGAAACATCCTATTGTTTAAAAAAAATTTAATTAA